GCTACTCAACCTACGTACGCACTCCAAACACTGCAGCAGCTGTTTGCACATGTGAGTAATTTCTACGAATGTAACTTAGCTCATCGAATGCACAATACCATGCAACCTGCAAAAGAAAGCTCTCTGCGGCCAAGCTGCATGAGCTCTCGGATGCACCGTAGAAGTTCCGCAGGGTCACCGACAGCCCACGGTGGCCTTGGCAAAGAGGGGAGGAACCGCCGGGACTACCTCGCAAAACCTCACGGAAAATTCACTCGAAATCGTCCCGGCAAGCTGCTTGCGACACGGTTGGCCAGCTGCGAAGTCAAAGGCTCACCCACGGTCGTGATGACACGAAGGCCCCTCAAAGACCCCTGCACACAGAGGGTGTGCGTGAAGGAACTGAAGAAGAGGCTCGCACCCCTTAGGTCAGACATGCTAAACCTCCAGCGCATCGAACTAAATCTGAGTACCGGCCTGCGCAACGTCCAGGAGCAGGTCCAAAACGGAAGGTGTGATCATGAGCACGTCCACATGGAACTTCTCGATTGTCTGGGCCATGTACTGCGGGCTCTTGTGGCCATCGGCGCTAGCGACGACGAGCTTGCCACCCCTGATCAAGGCTGGGAAGACCTCCCACTCCATGACCGCCCAGAAGTACGGAGACTTGAAGAGCTGGACAGAGCTCTCCGACATCCCGTGCTCCTCTGCCCAGAACCACGCGCCGTGCAAGAGATGCTGGTGGTCGTAGACGATGCCCTTGGGCTCTCCGGTGGATCCGGACGTGTAGATCAGCATGGCCACGTCGCCCGTGTCGCCGCTGCCAGCGCCGCTCTGCACAGCTGGTCGCTGGGCTTCGGTGACGGTGAAGTTTCCGAAGGAGGAGATCGCCACCCAGTGGAGCCCGAGATCTGCGGCAAGTTGCTTGCACTCCTTCACACGGCAACTCGCTACCACAAGAACAGGGAAATCAAATCGGCCATCCTACCACAAGGCTTCATGAAGGCGCGCGCCTGGGAGTTGGCGTCGGAGATCAACACCGTGGCGCGGCTGTCCTCCAGAACGAGCCTCTTCCTTGCCTGGCGCGATCTCTCAGCATGCAGCATCACTTGAAAGGCCACGGCCCACGATCCCTGCGTCATGCATGTTCATGCCTAACTACCTATCTAATCCTATCTACCCAGCTTTCTCGCGCTCACGCCTCTGGCCCCGTGTCGTCCATGGGCAGGTAGCCGGCACCTGCCAGCAAAGCGCCGAGGATCGACACCACCTGCGCGCTGCTTCGCGGCAAAGATAAAGCGACGATCTCGCCATGGGCGCCTCGCAGGGTGATGACTCTCATGCTGCAGACTGCCCCCTTGCTGCTTGACTGTCGGGGGCGGGCCTAGCTGTTCGAGCACCACGGCCAACTGCCGGACAGCTTCTGCCAGCTCCTCGCCGAGCGGGCGCGTTGATTCTGCTGGAGGCTCTCGCGATCTGTCGCGAGCCATGCGACTGCGGAAAACCCAGGCATCTGCGCACACCGAACAACCGAACAACCCGACTCCTGGTAGGTGACCACAGTCTTTGCCTCGTGGGGCAACACCAGGGCCGTCGCCGTCGGTGTCAGCTTCGCCTGCTCCAGGAACAGCTCGTGGACCTGGACATTCGCAAACAATCCTCGCGGTGACCCGAAAGAAAACACGCGCTGCTTTTGTCGAGCCTTGCGTTCTGGGAAGGGCGGCATCTCGCCAAAGGCTTCCGACATCTTCGACACATCCCCGAATCCGTTGCTCTGCCGCTTCACTGGCGAACGCGATCGTCTGCGGCAGCTGCAGTGGCTGCGAAGCCGCGTGTAGAGGAACACCGCCAGCACCACACATGACCAGAAGCCCGTGTAGAGTGCGAAGAACAGGACCTTACCCTGAAGATCCCATGCTTCGCTCGGGTCGCGAAAGTCGCTTGGGAACGGCCAACCTTCCATGGCTCCAGCGTTCATAGTGGCTCTATCGCCACACACAAAATCCTCCCAATGTCCTAGCCCTGCAAGCTGAAATGCCTACGAGACAGCAAACAGAGCTGAGAATTTCCGACAGGCAGAAGTGGTACTGGCTTTGCTCTTTGCCGCGCAGACCCTGCCCGACTTTCTGACGGCAGCTTTACTGGCGCCAAGCGTCCTAACCAATCTGCAGTGAGAGATCCTTGACTCCACAGCACCCGGGCGCGATGGATCGGTGATGGCCACGGCCGGGTGCACGACCTCGAATCGTCGATGAGCTGTCTCAGGATCAACAAAGTCAGAGAACTGAAAACTACCACGGGTCTGTGTCTGGAGGTTGAAACTGCACCCAGGTTAAAGGCTAGATGAGATCTCCTAACACGCAAGTGTATCAAGCCTTCGCTAAAAGCTTCCGTGAAGACACGGCTACGCTGAGCCCTAGACCCGAATCTCTCAACCCCACATCCCCAAAAACCTAAACCCCACAGTTCACACCTGACTGTTTCGCCTATGCGCTCAGGCGGCGTCCCGTGCACGCGCAAGCGAGCGAGGGCTTGAAAGACCAACTCTCAGTGCCAACACTACCGCAACAGAGACCATCATTGCAACGAAACCGCTTGGAGGATCATGGGACTTAGTAAGTATGGTTATACATACCTTAATTACAATTATAAGTAACTATAAGTATAGTTACCTTATAGTAACCCGAGCTACTAACTAAGTCCCATGATCCTCCAAGCACACCCTCAGCTCGTGGCTCGTGGAGGCCCCTACCTCAACTCGAAGATCCCTCCCGGAGCCCCAGCGCCTGCGACAGACCGCATTCCACGGACGTCATCCTGCTAGCATCGGATGCAACATGATACAGGGGCATCTACTACACAGTCCTGATGACACATTTCTGCTGGCGTCTTTAATTTAAGGCTCTGGGTTTATTGGGGCTCTTCGCGTGTTCGTTGGGCTCAACACGGCTCAAGGATGCAAAAACTGCAGACGATCTATGTCAACCTTGCCATCCCTTGCCCGAGCTATGCGGGTGGTTGTGAAAATTACGGTCCCCCTTTTGGTACCCTAAATATTAGGTGCCGTATTATAACAAGGACCCCAAAAGGGACCATAATATTGACAACCACCCATGTAATTATTCAATCACCTGGGCTTTGCGTGATGTGTCACGGGGCAAGCAACGCGCTTAGTGATGTTTCGACTGCCACCTGTGTACGGGCAGACGGCAGCAATTGGCTTCCTTGAAAAGTCTGATAACTGAAGGTGAGGAGAAGGGAATAGAAAGCAAAACGGAATAGAATGGAAGAGAATGATATACTGACTAGTGCAACATGCTCACCTTATGATAATCAAGAGGTTGCGTCTTGGCAATGAGTCGTGGGCTAAAGGTCTTAGCTTGGCTTCGCGGACAAGGCCCCAGAGTCACGTTTGTTGCGTTTTGGTCTGCAAGCGCAGTCCCCAATGAATTTGTGAAGTTTCGCTTTGGGCGCCGGACAGCGTGGGGACGTCTGCCGCTTCCACTTTCCAGGCAGGAGACCCCAAACCCGAACAACATCTGTTGCGGTTTAGGGTTTAGGGTTTAGGGTTTAGGGCAAAATCATGCAAAATGCAAGAAAAAACTGGATCTGCTCTTTTACTTTGTGCAGATGTGTGGCATGGTGGGGGATCAAGTCAAGGTTTCGGCAGAGGCCGCAAGGCAACAGGGGTCCCAACTTACACCGCACCCGCCCACGAGGGAGGATATCCAAACAGGCTGCCGCTAGCCCGGGAGCGGTGGCCCTTTGCCATCGGGCCCGCCTGTTTGCAAAATCCTGAACCTCCCGAAATCGTGGCTCTAAGTTAGGGGTGAAACATTTGGTGTATCTACTTGAAGCCCAAAAAAGCTTTGCATGGTTCCTTCTTCTGGTTTCTGAATATACTTCCTTTAAAAGGTGGGGTTTGGGGGCTACGGGTAGCTACTGCAGAGCTTCTTCCTCCCCCCTCGATTTGGGCTGCAGCAAGTTCCAGGGTCAGGAATAAGCCACAATGCAAACATCATATGTGCTTGTAGAAGGGTTTAGCAAACATACATGGGAAATTTAGAGATAAGACACGTTCCGGAACATCCCGGGTGCAAATAAGTGCTCCGTGGCGTGGGCCGAGAAGGGCCCTGGTGTTTGGCATCAGGAGCATCGGGCGTCCTCTTGCGCACACAGGAATGTCTAAATCGGGGAATCAGCGCAACGGGAACGGCAACGGAGGGAGTGGGGATGCGAAATGATCAGGGTGTTTGGGAAGGTTCGGAGCAGCTGGTCGGGGCTGTCCGGGGTGTAGTTGTCCGGTGCTGTTTGGGGCGGATGGTCCGATCATGTCCGATATGTGCCGACAGCCCACAAGGTGAAAGGCCGTGTTTAGGAGTGGCAGAGGAACGAGTGTGCAACAAAGGTGCTTGCATGGCTTGCTAAACTGGAAAGTCAGAAACAACTTCCAACAAAGAAGATTGCAGACATGAAGAATGATAATAACCTTCAGCTTGTGCTCTAGAGCATTCGCTGACAAGGTAAGCCCCAAACACAAGCAGGCTGGCAAGGCCACGCAACTACTGGACAACTCCAAGATTCTGTAGGTGTTTCCGGTCTGCTCGCCTTTAGACAGTAAACCCTCAAACCCTTAACCCCAAACCCTCACCCTAAACCCTAAACCCCTAAACCCCTAAAACCCCTAAACCCTGAACCCTAAACCCCTCAAACCCTCAAACCCTAAACCCCTAAACCCTAAACCCTGAACCCTAAACCCCTCAAACCCTCAAACCCTAAACCCCTAAACCCTAAACCCTCAAACCCTAAACCCCTAAACCCTCAACTCCTTAAACCCTAAACCCTCAAACCGCGCCTCCCCTAAACCCTAAACCCCTAAACCCCGCGCCTCCCCCAGGCTGAAGATCGGAGTCGAAGTCCGAGTCGATCCCCTCTTCCCAGAGACTCCAATACCCCTTAATTAAGGAATATACCTTAAATCATATTAAGGATCCTATTATAATTTAAAGTAGATTCCTTAATTAAGGGGTATTGGGCTCTCTGGGCTCTTCTGGCGCCTCCTCGTCGTTTCGGCGGCCCCCAGCCTGCGCGAGGAGAGAACCCCCGCAGGCTTTAGGGTTTAGGGTTTGGGGTTTAGGGTTTAGGGATTTTAGGGTTTAGGGTTTGTTTTTTTCAGGGTTTAGGGTTTAGGGATTTTTGGGTTTAGGGATTTTGAGGCTTAGGGATGTAAGGCTTCAGGGATTTGGGGGCTTGGGGATTAGGGGTTTAGGGTTTAGGGTCTAGGGGAGCCAGGCGATTGAAGATTAGGTCTCCCTGCTGGCCTTGAGAAGGAGCTCTAGTGCTTCATCCCAAAGTCCGATGGCAGCCTTGTCTGCCGGAGTCTCTCCAAACTTGTTCGCGCGATTCAGGTTTACGCCGGCCTCACAGGGGCGCAGGGCCGAAGATGCCCCGAACCCTCTTGCACCCGGGGATCAAGCAACGGGCGGGCGAGCAGTGAAAGAAGAGAGAGGGGACCGACTTCTTCCAAGAGCACCATACTCTACTGCACTATACTATACGGTACAATGCAATACTTTACTGTACTATGCAATTCACCGCGGCCTGGATCAGGAACTTCAGCGCACCAACGTGCCCGTGAATCGCAGCACTGTGAGCCGGCGTGTCTCCGAGTTTGTCCGGTGCCTCCAAGTCGGCTTTGGCCTTGATCCGCGAGGAACCCTGTTACTGTTGAGATCCGATTTCAAGACGCTCGAACCCTCTCACCCTTAGCCGAAGGCTACATTTTTGAAGGACCGCAGCCACAAAGCCGTTAGGATAGGAACCGAATCGATCCGGATATGGCATAATAGTATAGTATAGTACAGTATCGTATAGTATAGTATAGTATGGCATAGTATAGTAAAGTCTAGTATAGTAAAATACAGCATAGTATAATACAGCACAAGTCAGTATAACATAACATAACATGTCATAACATAAGATGATATTATGGGCTTGTAATGAATGTGATACTCATATAAAAGTTTGGAATACGATAGAAGAAGCGCAGAGAGTAGTGTGGACTAGAATAAAACAGAACAAAGTGGAATCGGCTCGAACAGAAAGTTAGTAAAGCAGAATGGCAATAATAGAATGTAGCATACTATATGTCTCATTATATCTCTTGTATTTTCCACTGCACCTGGCACATTATGTACTAGTATATGAAAGCCATGGGGGGAAACGGGCCATGGCCTGGTGGAGTAGCTCCAGCACAGCCACCTCCCCGTTCGAGGCCGCGGAGTGGGCCGGGGTCCAACCGTCCTCGTCTCCCGCCGTGAGGTTCACACCCACCTCACAGGGTTAAAAATTCAGGGTTTTGGGGAAGTTTGGGGCTTAGGGTTAAAGCACCGTGGGCCATGACCTGTCCATGGCTTCTCAGAGAGATTTGGGAGCTTTGAGGAACCTCGCGGAGGAACTGCAGCACCGCCACCTGGCCATAGGCTGCGGCATAGTGCGCCGGCCTCCTCCTTTCCTGGTCCACGGCACCATCCAAGTGGGCCCCAGCCTCGGCACAGGTGGGTTCCCAGATCTTGCCCTGATGGCAAGCCTTTTCCCTGGGCTCCCTCAGAAACCCTTGGAACAGACACTGCACTGCTGCAATTTCCGGGCCTCTTGCTCGGCCACGAGCGCTGCCACGTTGCCCTGCTTGGCCGCCTCTCTCATGGAGATCGCATGAGGCTGCAGGCCGCTTGCCTCCGGAACTCCCGTGGCCCCAAAGCCCTCAAGGACAAAGGAAGTTCAGGTAATGCAGGTGTCTGGTGATCACCTCTATCTTTCGGGGAGCAGGTGGGCGTCGATTCTGTTGATCAATTTACAACATGCACATGGGAAATACATCGTAGCTCTTGGGCCAACCAGAGGGGCCTTGAGATGCGGCTCAATGGTTCACGAAACTTCAGAGGCTAAAGCGGCGCAAGGCTACCTACGGGGTATCGTAGCACGAAGTCGGTTGCACTTCAAACGTGTAGGGTTTATGGGCTCAAACCTCAGTAATGACCCCTTCTCTTCCAAAACACAAAAGCTCGGTGAACCAGTCAACATAGCACCAACCCACACCATTCCTGTGGAAACAATACCTCGCCCCATCCGCTGGCTTTCGTCACCCTGAAGAGCACGACAGGCCGCCTGCTCTCTAGCCGCCAAGTGACTCCGCATGGAATCCTGGAGCGCAGGGGCTGGCGGTGTGAGACGGAGGGAATTGGGGTAGCTTCCGGCTTCAGGTAGGACTGTGGGTGCAGGTCTCGGTCGAGCGTCGGCGTCCAGAATATAAACTTCGATCACCTAAAAGTCCCGCAGCCTCCAAGGTCTTGGCAAGGACCCTGAAAAGCTCTTCCAAAGCCCAGTGCCGAGGACTCGGCCTGGGTCCGTGTGCCATCTGCAAGAGCCAGCATGGCCAGCAAGAGCAGGCGAAGCACCTTGTGAGTGTCGCGTTCGGGCGCGGTCTGAGAATCGGTAAGATTGGACCGAAGCTTTCGGCCCAAGCCGTAGATTCGACAGTATCACGGGGTTACAGGAGTTTGTCGGGGTTCGTGCTGTTCGGTTGCCCAAACAGAGAAATCCTTCGAAAACTAATCGTCTCCAACCGAAGCTTCAAACCAAACTGAAGCTCTCCAGAGCTGCTCCTAAGGACCAATGTCTTGAATGGACCCGACCCGCCATCTCAGTCCGCGGCAAACATTGCACATGTAAGATGTGGAGTTGGCGGGCAACTCTGCACTTGGTGTGACAAGCTGCGGCGAGGCTACATTTACACTTCAATTTCAATCCATCTCGGTGTTCTGTCGACCGTTCAAGCCTTTTATCAAACAGAAAAACTTGAAAGTTAATTGGGCTTCGAGAAAACCTACCAAGGAGAAGCTCTGAAATCATGATTAAAAGACTCTTATTTGGCAAAGTTTTTGCAAAAATGTCACGTTTCCTGCCGATGTCTTGTGAGTTATTCCAATTGATGTGAACCTTTTAGGACATCGCTACGGCCGCGATGCCCAACATGGCATCGAGCCAAAACTGGAACCTGATAAACACATGGAACATGGATGAACTGCTTGCGGCTTTGTGTGGTGAGCTTCGCTGGAGATTGACCAGTTTGGAATGTTTGCCTGGATGGTGAATTTTGAAAACCTACCAGCTACCAACCCAAAACCGTAAACCCGAACCGGCGACATGGAAACCCAGACCCGACGCACTCAAAAACCGATGCGGGCCTGGCAGAAATTGCCAGGCCCTACATGCTGCCCCTTCAAGGCTTGATGTCACCCTTCATTCTGGGCTGTCCTAAACCTGTGTGAAGGTTCCGCCGGGTAGTCAACCACAGAACATCGCTTTGATGCAACACATCGAAGCTCCTGAACTCGGAACGCTCCGGCTATATTATACTGTCCGATGCCAGAAAGTGTCTTACTGTTCTGTTTCCTCGTCGTCTTACTCTTACACCTACTCTTGCTGGTGCCATTGCTGTTACTCTAATTTTGTACTCTCACTCTCTAATCTTTAGTCGTTACCCCTTATTCTTTACTGTTTACCCTTGCCCTTACTCGTACTTTTACTCGCACTCGTACTGTTACTCTAACTCTTACTCTTCCTCTCACTCTCATTCCCTCCTCTTCCTCATTCTCATTGTCACTCTCACTCTCGCTCTCACTCTCACTCCGACACTGACTCCCTCAACCTCACCCTCAAGGACAATCAGCTCAACAAGTTCTTGCTGTTCAAGTTGTGCAGCAGCAAAAGTCAAGAGTCAAGTGTTAAGAGTCAAGAGTCGAGAATCAAGAGTAAAGAGTGAGGAATAAAGAGTAAAGCGTAAATCGTAAACCGTAAGGAGTAAGGAGTGAGGAGTGAGGAGTGAGGTGTAAGGATTGAGGAGTGAGGAGTAAGGAGTAAGAAGTAAAGAATGAGGAGTAAGGCGTAAGAAGTAAAGAGTAAGGAGTAAGGACAAAGCAGGAGTAAGGAGTAAGGAGCAAGAGTAAACAGTGAAGAGTGAAGAGCAAGAACAACAGTAAGAGTGAGAGTGAGAGTGCGAGTAAGAGTGAGAGTCAGAGTGGGAGTGGGAGTGAGAATGAGAGTGAGGATGAGAGTGAAACTAAAGAGGAAGAGGAAGAGGAGGACTAAAAGTAACAGTACGAGTAAGCGTAAACGCGAGAGTAAGGGTAAGAGTTAGAGTTAGAGTTTAGCAACGAGTAAAGGCCAACGAGTAAAGAGTAAAGAGTAAGAGTAAGGGTAAGAGCAACAGCAAGAGCAAGAGGAAGAGTAAGACTAGGAGAAAGAATAAGACTAAGAATTAAAGGACCGGATAACCCCACATGTGAAGCTTGTCTATTGGTAGACAATCTAAAGACGCAAAAGAGTGAATGAGTATGGGAGTAAATGGATGAATGAGTGAAAGAATGGGTGAGTGTTGTTGTGACCGCCTATGTGGATCTGAATGTTATGAGGGTGTATGATGTGTGTGTGTGTGTGTGTGTGTTTATGTGTGTGTGTTTGTGTGTGTGCGAAGGACAGGGATGTGCAGGAAATCGAATGGCATGCACCAATCCCGGCCGAAAGCCTGGTGCCGTGACTTGCCGGTGCTGTGTGCATGTGTGTGTGTGTTCATGTTTGTGTGTGTGTGTGTTCATGTGTGTGTGTGTGTCTGTGTGTGTGAATGTGTGTGCGTGAATGTATGTGTGTATGTGTGTGACAGAGCTGAGGCTGCTTCTGCGATAGCGATGGCATGTCGTCGTAGGCTCCGAAGCACTCATGTCGCGTTTAGTTCCGTGTATGTGTGTGTGTGTGTGCATGTGTGTGTGTGTGTATGTGTGTGCATGTGTGTGTGTGTGTGTGCGTGTTTGTGTGTGTGTGCATGCATGTATGTTTGTGTGCATGTGCATGTGTGTGCATGTGTGTTCGTGTGGATGTGTGTGTGTGTGTGCAGGCGTGATCTGCCGCGCCGGAGTGCCCATGCCATCGCCATGACCTCAGCACAGTCCAATGCGGCAACTGCATGAAACAAGCAGCCGAGCTAATCACATGCACCGGTCCTTTTTCACATCCTCTCTTTGAGTCGGAGCATCTGGGCTGGTTTCCCAGTACGGGTCGCGCAGCACGCAGACTTTGCCCTCCTAAACAAGAAAGGGTTATCGTCGGTAACTTGCATCCGCATGCGAGCCAGAACTTTGGATCAGTCAGCTCTGGACGATCGCGTAGTTCTTGCTGATGGCGAACATCCGAAGGTGTCCTTTGCCGCGAAGCAGAAGCCGAGGTCGTGCTCGAGGCCAGAGCAGGCCGGGAGGATCTTTAGTCGCGGAAGAGTCTCGCCCCAAGGCGCGCGCGGCCTTGGCCAGAGCAGGCCCGGGAGGGTCTTTAGTCGCGGAAGAGTCTCGCCCCAAGGCGCGCGCGGCCTTGGGCCCGGGAGGGTCTTTATAGTCGCGGAAGAGTTTCGCCCCAAGGCGCGCGCGGTCTTGGCCAGGGTCTTTAAAAGTCGCGGAAGAGTCTCGCCCCAAGGCGCGCGCAAGGCGCGCGCGGCCTTGGCCAGAGCAGGCCCGGGAGGGTCTTTAGTCGCGGAAGAGTCTCGCCCCAACTTGGCCAGAGCAGGCCCGGGAGGGTCTTTAGTCGCGGAAGAGTCTCGCCCCAAGGCGCGCGCGGCCTTGGCCAGAGCAGGCCCGGGAGGGTCTGTAGTCGCGGAAGAGTCTCGCCCCAAGGCGCGCGCGGCCTTGGCCAGAGCAGGCCCGGGAGGGTCTTTCCTCTAAGACCAGGTTAGGCTATTTTGGGACATATATCCTATATGGCAAAAATAACCTATATAGGTTATTTATATAAATAAACTATAGGTTATTCTTCCGGTTATTTTATAGGTTATTTTATAGGTTATATCTGAAATAGCCTATATCCTACTGTAGAATATAGCTTAGAAATTGCTTACTGTGTTTGACAAACTAGCATCCAGTTTGATAGATTTTTTGCATAGAACATTGAAATTGATATATTTTTCTAACTAGCAGATCTGTGCTAAGTTGAACGAATGCGTGTTTTCGCTTTGTTTTTGTGCACGGAACAACTGATTGTCCATGTGTGTTACTGCGAATTTGTTTGGTTTGTCTTCATTGTTGCTTGTTGGTTGTGACTTGTTACTCCGTGTACCTAGCTCTTGTATGTGTCGATTTTGTTTGCTACTTAGATCTTCTTGCATCTAGCTAACATACGGCTGGCACCTCAGATGACTCTAACTAACAAATCATATCCCGAGGTTTGGGGTTTTTGAGAAGTGTAGGTAGGTAGATAGGTCCAGATAGGTGGCTCGGCAGGGTAGCTAGGTCTTTGGGTTAGCTTGGTCCCCTGGTACAGGCTTGCTATAGGTAGGTCTTTGGAATACGTGTTTTGGGGTTTGAGCTGGGGGGTTTAGGGGATTAAGCTAACTGGGTTGAAGGGGCTTGGGGTTGCGTGTTATATAATGGGTTCCGGGTTGTGTAGGTAGTTCTACGGGATACATTTATTGGGTTTTGGTGTTCAAGGTTTCTGGATTGAGGGGGCTAGGGTTCCGTGGTACTAGGTTTTGGGGTCTGGGTTGAGGGGTTTAGGGGTGTAGGGTTTCTTGGATTTGGGGTTATTGGGTTCGGTGTTCAAAGGTTTTGGTGTTTGGCCTTTGGGCGGCTTCGGGACTTCAGGTTGAGTGTTGATGGGTTCGGGGT